ACTATGAATCTAAGTAACAACAAACATGGCATGCATGTATCTAGGAGACAATCAAAACTACGAGGCTACGCTAGTGATATGAGAATGAGAAAGGGAATGATGACGGTGAACAAACAGGCAAAAAATGAAAAAATAATAAAAAATAAAATACAGCCATTCCGAGAAATGTTGCTGCTTGGGAGGCCGAATTTTTTTTTTTTTTTTTTTTTTTTTTTTTTTTTTTTTAGGGGCCGATACAGCCGAAGATATCGGCTGTATGTCTTCCAATTCTTCCATTCCTTCAACAGGATTCCCCTCTACCCTCTCTTGCCCACGTCACCCGCGAAATGCCTCCCCCAGCTACAAACCTGCAGCAAACCTCAACCCCCGATCGGTCCCGCCATCCAGCTGCTCAGCATCCAACCAGATTAGACCTTTTTTCCATCCTATCCAGCCGATTTAAGCAAATACGAAATTCGTCTCCGTCAAATACGCCCGTGCCACATTTATCAATCCACGTGAGTTTGGTGATGTTCGCTTGCCCGTTTGCCTATGCCACCATGTCCTGACAAAGTCTCTTGTCATTTGAAATCAACAGGTTATGCAACCTGCTTCGGAGAACAGCCTCATGGGTGAGTATGAGGAGTCCTACCTGGGACCCAGCCAACCCTCTCAAAGCGACGGGGCATCATGCCGGGTGTTTTTTGAGTCCCCTCGGGACAATGGCGGATTTATCCAACCTTATTCAACGATAATCCAAGGGATCCCCGCTTCGGTTCAGCAGATGACCAATGTAGTGCCCCCGGGATTGCATGCCGCCAATCACCAAGTTTCAATCGGTCAACATCCGGCCGTTCACCACGTGGCGATCCCGAATCAAGCAATTGGCGCTCAGGCTCCGATGGGGTGCCACGCAAGTTCAATTGGCCAGCTGACCGGTGGGCCTCCGGCGCAGGGGATGCACCTTGCCCCCGTGGGTCATCAGCTGTCCGCCTTCTCGTCTAATGCGGCCGGCCACGTGATGACCATGCCTGCTAGTCAAGTGGCCCCGGCGCATCCTTCCCTCGGTGGCCAAACTTCGACGGTGAACCCGACTCGCGCGCTGTCTCTTGCCCCGATTCCAGGGGAGGCCGAGGACGAAGGGCGCCCGATTCTCATAGATTACATTGTATTCATCCGATCGGCCCAGAATCAATCCTCTGGGTCCAGTAAACCAACCACGTCGACCAAGGAGTGGGACCGAGTGGTCCCGAGGGCCGAGACGGTCTTCAAAACAGACATCGCTCGGTGGGACTGGCGAAGCTTGCAGGCTAAAATCCTCTCAATCATCAAGGGGCCACGTGACCCGATCCGGAATGAGGGCGCTGGGAAATTACTTCGCAAGCACTTCGAGGCCCTCGATGAATCGGGCGTCCTCAAGTGGCAGTGTGTGTTGAACTCGCATCGTACTTATGGCCACAAGGGGAACTACTTTGTCACACGAGACGAGGAGTGGCAGGTTTTTGTCAAAGTGGCAAACCACAAGGATAACTTATCGACGAAGATCATCATCAAGCTCCTGATGGCTGATCCTCGCAAGTCCGTCAAAGCGGCTGAATCCGTAAGTCTTCCTCTCACGTGGGTTGTATTGATGATCTTACTAACCACCACTTGATTTGGCATACCAGGAAAGAAAACAGAATGATAATCTCGTGGCCCAATATGGGACAGACCCCGAGCGTATTGCTCTGGATCGATTACATTCACGTATGGCGAAGAATGTGAGTTACCTCTCACCTTTTCTGTATTGCTTCGGAGGATCACGGTTATTGATCTATGTATGCTTGTATCCTATCAGCCCAAAGCCGACGTAGATGCTAAGGGGCGCGTGCAAATGGTCCTTGACCTCTCGACCCACATATGCGACAAGTATGGTGCCAATGCCGAGTCATTGAGGATCAAGGACCCAGATGACCCGGAGCGATCGATCCGCATCACTTCTAACGCGCTGGGAATATGGGGTCGGTCGTTGTTCAAGGGAGAGGTTGGGGTTACCTGGGAGCACCCTCCTAAGACCAAGGAGTTTGAATCGGAGCCCATTAAGGTATACACCAGGGATGAGCAAGACGCCCGCCCGGTGACACAAAAGACCACCCCCAGTGCGAAAAGCACCATTCGACGATCGGCCTCCTCTATGGCATCCGGGAATCACAACGACGGCTCAGCATCGACTCATAATACCCCTGCCGGACCACGCTTTTCAGCGCCCCGTGTGACCTCGTCCGGTCGTATCAGGCCCCCCAGATTGTTGGAATCGCCGGCGTCGCCCACAGTACCGGAAGATAAGCGTGGGTCGCCGGTAATCGGTGCCTCTGCGACCCGAATGGCTATGACTTCCCCAGTCCTCGGTAAACGTGGCTCCGTGTGCTCGTCGGTGTCCAAGGCTAGTGGATCCGTGGTCTCCTCTGTCTCAAAGCCGAGTGGATGCAGCCTCACGGAAGAATCCCCCGAAGGGGATGACAGAGATTTATCATCGACCGAGGCCGAGGGTGAAGAAGATGAGCTAGAGGTGGTGCCTTATGTCCGAGGAGAGTCAAACCTTCCTTCAGACATAGAACTAGTCTCAGGCCATCAATCGCCTTGCAATGTAAATCGCTCACCGGCCCGGAAGATCCCTCGTGTTGCGACCCCTAGTGCCGACGTTGTGGCGCAGACAATCAGTAACCTCGCCTTCCACACCCCAGGGCCCCCTGAACCCAACTTAACCGGATCTCCGACCCGCGCTCGCGATCACGCCATGGCAACCCCTAATTACGCCGCTGGCGTCCCGGGGTTGCCAGCAGCCATGGGGGGGAACCCAGGAGCTCTCGCCCGCGCACCGGAGCCTGAGATGAATGGACCACCCTTGAACCAGGCTGGTCGTGCCCAGCAAATGGCCTCGGGTTCGCCAGCAGCCATGGGTGGGAATCCAGGTGATCCCGCCCCCGCTCCGGAGCCTGAGACCAATGGACCGCCCTTGAACGAGGCTGGCCGTACCCTTCGAATGGAGGACTTCCTCGGGCTCTGTAACTTTGAAGAAACCGACATGGTACCTCGGGTCCTCATTGGGGTCAGCCACATACGACACTGGGACTTCTTCCGCGACACCAACGTCGCAGAGTTACAACAAATGGGATTCCCATTCCCGATAGCCAAGCAGTTAATCAAGGGGGCCCGCGGCTTAGAGATGACTCATACCGAGGCCAATGGCTCCATCGGCAACACCGGGGTCACCAATTGACCCTTGATTCCAATTCATTGATTCCGATTCACATCATCCTATTGCCCCTATTCTGATTGCGTGCTCATGTGTTTCTGATATCAATTGGATCTATTCTTATTTCTCCTGATATGTCTTGGATCTCACCGCGCTTGTTAGGTTTGCTCTTATGAATGTTGTGATCTCACCGCTCGAGTTTGTTGAATGTTGTGATCTCACCGCTCAAGTTTGTACAAGACCGGCAAAGTATCAATTGGATCTATTCTTATTTCTCCTGATATGTCTTGGATCTCACCGCGCTTGTTAGGTTTGCTCTTATGAATGTTGTGATCTCACCGCTCGAGTTTGTTGAATGTTGTGATCTCACCGCTCAAGTTTGTACAAGACCGGCAAAGCCCGGTCCGAAGATGCTCTTTGTTACCCGTAATCAATATAAACCATGAGCGCGATTGGCCTCTTGCCCACTCATTGCATATCTACATACTCTTACAAAAAGCGTGCTATGCTCATTCCCAATCGACTCTGCTGATGTGTTTGTGATTGAACTCATCCTCTCGCGTATTGTTTGGTCCAAAGGGGTTAGGTCAATTGCATGAGATGAGTCAAAGGTGTATCCCATTCACACATATGAAGTTAAAGTAATTCTGAAGGGATGAGATGAAATGAGGCATAAGGAATAAGGATTACAAGATTGTGCTACGTAGCAGTAAATCATGTAGGTAGATATGTGAATAAAACATCATCAACACCCGAGCGAGGAATAAAAAATCATCTACACCCGAGCGAGAGCTCGAACACAGACAGACAGACCCCAAACAAAAAAAAAAATATCACAACGGTCTATTGACCCTCGTATCCACTTCCTAGAAAAAGCAAGCGCATCAAAGCTGGGGTCACCATAGATTCCATGTGCACCTCGATGCGCTCCGGATCTTCATCGTCACCCGTGAGCAGACGGTTCCTCTTGAGTTGAGATTTGAGAACCGAGAAAACCTTTTCGATGGGGTTCATGTCCGGAGAATACGGCGGGAGATAAATAAGGAGCACACCAGCGGCCTCGCAAATCTCCGCTATACGCCCGTTATGGTGGGTGCGAGCATTATCCATGACTACAACACTGTTGCGACCGGGGAACGCATTCATCCTGGGGAGCTGAGCCCGATCCGAACCCATCAGTCTGGTTCCCTTCCATTTGAATTTGACCAGGACCAGCAACTTCGTACATACCAGCACATCTGACAAGAAGAATTCTAAGTCCCACCGAAGGATCGAATCAGGTTGGCACATTATCGCCATTAAACCGTCGAGAGACACCGCCGGTAGTACACTGAGCCGTTTACCAGGCAGAGGCCTTGGCAGCCGTCTGGTCCGACGCCCCCGCGGGGCCCATGCTCGGTCGCGGGAGTGTGATCGAACTGACACTGCGCATTCGTCTAGATGTACGCATCGGTCATCAGAAATGGGGGTAAGTCCAAGGCAGGGCAAGAAGACCAAGTAGTTTGCCGGAAAAGGTGCTATCTGAACGATGTATTCGGCCCTTCTGATCGGAGATTGGGCCGGATGAACCGTCCTGGCGACCTTTTTGGTCATCCCAAGTCGTCTCTTCAACTCGTCCGAGATGGTGGCTACAGGGTGACGTGTCCCCGTCATCGCTTCAATGTGCGATTGGATCTCATCCAGGTAGAGGGTCGGCTCCTCTTCAAGGGCACGCAACACAAAGCGGCCCTCCTCGCGGGACAAGGCCAAAGGTCGGCCTTGATCCAAGTACAGCGCCGGATCACGCACAACGTCTCGAGTCTCTTGATAGAGGCGACTCCAGCGGCGGAAAGAGTCCGCCGACACTCTTAGGCCCAGCGTTTGGTTGATCTCGTCCCTCGGTAACCCTCGCGCAAGCATTCGGATCACGATGAACTTGACATCGCGTTGGTATAGCACAAAGACCATCTTGCCTGGGACAAACAAAGCAAGCAATCGAAAATCAGCTAATCCATGGAAGCAGTGACGCACGGTGATTCTGTACATGGCTTGGTGAACAGCACTTACCCTGATGATTGTTGATGAAGTCCGATGGTGCGAAACCGAGATCGTAGAATGTGGCAGGAGTAAAGCGGTGAATTTATTGCCTGCCCAGGATTATGTCAGAGACCAGGCAAGCAAGGCATGAAAATCAAAAACTCACGATGATACCGGTTGGATACTGAGCAGCTGGATGGCGGGACCGATCGGGGGTTGAGGTTTGCTGCAGGTTTGTAGCTGGGGGAGGCATTTCGCGGGTGACGTGGGCAAGAGAGGGTAGAGGGGAATCCTGTTGAAGGAATGGAAGAATTGGAAGACATACAGCCGATATCTTCGGCTGTATCGGCCCCTAAAAAAAAAAAAAAAAAAAAAAAAAAAAAAAAAAATTCGGCCTCCCAAGCAGCAACATTTCTCGGAATGGCTGTAAAAAAAACAATGAGGGAAACGAGGTTCATCTGGTTAATCGATCGGAGAATCGATGAATATTGATTAAAAATCTTGCCAACGCTGGCTCGGCCTTTCGAAGGGTGAGTGTCTTGTCGAGATGATCAGATTTGAATCGGACTTTGAGTTTGCGGAGGTGTTTTCTTAGCTCGGCTCTTTGTGATTTAGCCTGTGGGCAGAAGTTCATGAGGTGTCTAACCGTCTCTCTGCTACCACAGAAGGAGCAAAGAGGGTCAGAGTGCCTGCGGATGCGGAAAAGAAATGATTTCAGCGCGCAATGACCTGATGCCAATTGATTAATCAATGAGCTGCATGATATGGGGAGGGAAGATGGTGTCGGTCTGCTGGGAAGAAGAGCCGCTGTCACCCGATGCTGGATCTTCTGATAGTTGCCTTTGGTAGCAAGGAGAGGCGTCGAGGGGGACTCCAACGCCTCCTTAGCCAGCTGGTCTGCCATTTCATTGCCTGGGATGTTCACATGGCCCGGGCACCAGACAAAAGAGATGCTCAGTCCTTCCGGGAGCAAGGAGATGGCGGAGTCAATTTTCTCAAAAATCCATTGCCCAGGCTTGGGGGACCTTGGGTTTTTGGTCCTGTAAATGACGCCCTGATTGTCCACGAATATCATGATGTGACTGCGATCCGCTGATGAACATAAATGGCTGGCCAGTTCCAAAGCCGCCAATACACCCGCAGCCTCGCTTTCGTGATTTGAGATACTCGTGTTGCCACTCAGGTTATAAGAGCTGAAGACTCTCTCACTTGGGCAAATGGCAGCACCAGCCCCCCCCCCCCCCCCTTGTCCGGATGGAATGAGCCATCACTGAAGATCAAAAGTGTCCTTGGGTCTAAGGCGTGACAAGAGATGATTGACTTAACAGATGTAATTGCCGCTTCCTTGCTTAGGTTTTCATTGACATAACCAACCGCGCGAGTTGTGGCAGGCTTGAAGTCCATAGAGAGGTGTATCTGTTCCGGGTCCAAACCTAATGCCTCGCTGACCCGGAGGGTAGCCAGCCCCACCTGGGCAGCGTCCGCAAAACGTCGAGAGGAGTCGGCCCTACTAGATAAGATGGCAGATCTGACAGTGTTGTTAGAGCATCCACCCTCGTCTCTGTAACCCCGCTCGGTAAGTGGGATTTACAGAGAATTTAAGCATATTCATACCCCCATCCCCTCTTTAGGTCTCTGTAACAAATTAATCTCCAAGATTCTCGCTAAGGGTTCATAAAGTTACGAACCCCTACAGAGCCTCATTAGCCAACACTTATTGAGGCCGAATTGAAAAATTAGAAGTCCTCATTACCCTCAACCCCTCACATCCATCCCCATATACACACCCCATCACAATCACATCAGTTGCCCAGCCCACAAAACATCTCCCTTCTACCAGAAAGAAAAGTAATCATCCATGGCCGAAGGCGAAATTGAAATTGTTCCAACCAACAACGAAACTACCAAGAAGAAACGAGCGCCCAACTGGCTTCCATTTGAAGAAGAACAGCTTGCAATCTCATGGGTTCATGTCAGCGAGCAGCCCGAGTTTTCCAACAACCAGACTGGAACGATGTTTTACAAGAAGATAGAGGAAAACTTCAATCTCTTCAGTAAGATTCACTATCGGAGCCATGAACAGATCAAGATCAGGTATGAACCATTTATTTTCTCAATTCCGAAGTCCGATTGCTGATTCCTTTCCTTTAGGTGGACCTCTTTAAATACTGCAACTCTCAAATTTGCTGCTATTTACAACGCGATCGAGCGAAACCCTCCAAGCGGTTCCTCTCCTGAAGACTGGATGGCAACTGCGATGACCGTCTACGCTGATCAGACCAAAGGTGTTGCATTTGGCTCCGTTGCAGCCTGGCAGAAAGTCCGATACTGTCCTAAATGGCGAGGCGATCGACCCGATCTAACAGTCCCAATCCCAATCCCCTCTGATAACATCGACACAGAAGAAAATCCTGGCAGCAAAACACCAGCCACACCCACCGGCATCTGTACCCCAAGCTCGCGCGATGGATCATCGATATCACGCCCAATTGGTGGGAAGGCCGCAAAGAAGCGTCGGATTGAGGGTTACAAAGATGATGAGATGCTAGCGTCGGCGGCCAACTTTGCTGATATTTCAAAGGACCGCCTCACCGCATTGAATGAGGGAAATGCGATTGAGAAGGAGAAGAACGAGATATCGAGGGAAATCTTGAAGATCGAAGAGAAGAAGTTATCGCTGAAGGAAAAAGACTCGGTTATTCAGGCGGTCCACAAACAGAGCGAGACCCAAATGAACGATTACAAGCTCCTCCGCGAATTAACAAGTGGAAAGGAAGACCCCGAGGCCGAAGAGGTCCTCCAGATTATGAAGAAAAAGATTATACACAAGTGGCTTTCCTCTTAGATACATAACATTGTTTGCTTTTACCTCATCAGATGTCATATGTCCGTGTTAGCTCTTGAATTTAAAGATCCCTTCCCAAGATCAAGTTGCAATCTTCTCATGATCGAGCAATCGAAATTCATCATTGATCATGAATCCAACTCTAAACGATTGGTCAGATTGTTCCGATCAAGACCGATTGTGCCCATCAATCCAATTCCGATTTAACAATTTTTGAGTTTCTGAAACAATATGGCTTCATTGCTAGTATTGCTTGTTGTAGATATGAGCAAACTGCAAACAGAAAATAGAGATAAGAAAACAAAGATCTCCAATCAAAGACTGTTAAGCAGTCTCATCACCTTGGAGCAGCCAGTTATAGATTTTGAGGTCTTCTTTTAAGAGAGCATGCATGAAGGAATTATGTAGATTCTGGTTCAACTGGATATAATTTGCAAAAGTATGAGCTAAGCCGGGATCAGTGTGGTTGGGAATAATGACAGCGGAAGATGTGATGTCTGTTAAAAAGAGGTCGTCTGGAGATCGATCCTCCACAATCATATTATGGAGTATAATACAACAGGTCATGATGCGCATGACATCCTCCTTCTCCCATAAACGACAACCAACAGTCAGTACATGCCATCGCGCTTGAAGTACTCCGAACGTTTGCTCGATATCCTTCCGAGCGGATTCTTGAAGCTTGGCGAAGTGTTTTGCAGCCCCCCCCTGGGGATCCCTTATTGAACAGACCAGAGTCGACCATGGAGGATAGATGCTATCGCATAGATAGTAGCCGTTCGTGTAACGGTGCCCGTTGATAGTGAAGTCGACAGCGTCCTCGGCACCAGATAGTAAACGATCGAACAAGTGACTTCGATGGAGGATATTGATGTCGTTCAACGCGCCGGGGCTCCCAAAAAACGCATGCCAAATGCGAAGATTCTTGCTAGCTACCGCTTCCAAGACGATGGTGGGCTTTTTCTCCTTGCCTTTGTATTGGCCGGCCCATCCCGATGGGCAGTTCTTCCATGCCCAGTGCATGCCGTCGATGCTGCCGATACAACCTGGGAAACCGCGCTCTTCGTTTTCCTTCAGGATTGTCTCAAGCTCCTCGCGATTGGGTGGTCGGAGGTATTCTGAACCGTAGATTTCAATAACATGAGTCACGAAATGCTTCAGTGTTCGCAGAGCGGTTGTTTCGCCAAGTCGAATATACTCGTCAGTTGAATCAGCACTTGTGCCGTATGCAAGCTGGCGGATGGCGGACGTTATCTTTTGTTGGGGGGATAGACCGATTGTTCCACAGCAATCCTGTAATGATACTTGTTAGAACCAACCACAATAAAAAAAAACCTGCAAACAGAACTTACACTCTTGAGAATCCAAAAGCGATCATGTTCTTGTAGATCATGACAGAGCCGATCAAATATCCCTCGACTCATTCGGAACCGTCGTTCAAACATCCGGTTGTTGTAGACTGGATTCTCATCAAAGTAGTCGGCCATGAGTCTCTTGTGACCTGCGATCCGATCTCGGTGGATAACCATTCTGGGCCCTTCCAGAGCTCTTCTTTCGGGGGGCCTGGAGACTGAGTTGAGGAGGCGATAGAAAATCTCCTCTTCCATGGAGTCGACGAGGTAGTCGTCCACGCTGTAGGGCATTCTGGCACGGTGTTGATAGTGATCGCCGGAGTTCTGAGATGGCGAGTCCAACTTACAGAGGCACCCGGGGGTGCCGGCAACAGCTGGCAACCCTGAGTATCTCCCGCGGCTTTGCCTAACCAGCCGGTACCAACCAACGAGGGGGGTTTCACCCTGTAGATTAGTAACAGAGCCTCGCGGGGCTCGTTGCTTAGCTAGAGATTTACCTCAACGGGGGTGGATGCTCTTAGCTTTGATGAAGATGATCTTCCTATAGAAAAAAGAAAAACTAGTTCTAATGATACTATCGTAAAGGCTGGGTGTTGATGACCTCGAGCGGATGAAAGCAGTCGCTGTCGACCTGAACACCCCCTACATACAACTTGACAAGCTCAACTCGCTCACTCGGAGCAACCGATCGATGGTCATCAAGGTCTTGCTCTAACTTCTCACCCTCGCTTGCAGGACTCGAATCTAACCTTGATACTCTGGTTCATCATTCTCGTCGTTCTTCTCTGCTCGTCTCCTTCGTGTAGTGACTCGAAATCATATTGGTAAATGACTTGTTTCAATCTCTCTTTCTCTGTCTTTCTAATTTCTTCACTCATTGATTGTTTCTTCTCTTCCGTCTTGCAGGGATCTGTTTTTAGCACTTTACGTCGACAGGCCTCACTCTCACAAGTCGGTCAACAGCCCTCACTCTCACAAGTCGCTCCACACCCATCCTCTCAGGATGGTACCCAAAAGAATCTGGCTATCGTACAACAATCAGCTCACTAGCGTTCTAGCACAAGAGCTCGAGTTTGTTGATGACCTCGCCAAGGCAGCCAGAAACGAATTCTCGCCTCACCTGCGTCACTTCGCCCCGTCTGATATCACCCTGCATGTCAATGAGGATGCAGAGGCGCTGGCTACAGACTCAGCCCTTGTGGAAATCGCGGCACAACTATCCCCTTGCGGCGTCTCAAAGACTCCTCTTGTAGTGAAAGGTGAGCTTCGGTCAAGCTTCCATCCCATCCGCGCCAATCTCGTGCCAGCAATGCCTGGTTAAAGCTCTTGCTGTGCTCCCTCCCCCTGCTTCATCGCTAAATATTTTGTGTCCTGTCATTTGTAGTAAAATCGGACGTTGCCCGGGAGACTCCTCTTATAGCGAAAGGTATTCCTGCCATAATCTGGCTATCGTACAACAATAAGCTCACCAGCGTTCGAACACAAGAGCTCGAGTTCGTCGATCACCTCGCCAAGGCGGCCAGAAACGAATTCTCGCCTCATTCATCTGCGTCACTTCACCTCGTCGGATATCACCCTGCATGTCAATGAGCATACAGAGGCGCTCACTCCACACTCACGCCTTGCAGAACACGCTGCACAACTCTCCCATTGCAGCGCACCAGAGACTCCTCTTGTACTGAAAGGTGAGCTTCGGTCAAGCCTCCATTCCGTCCTTGTCCAAGCTCTTGTGCCAGCAATACTAAGCTCTAGCTCTCGCTGTGCTCTTGTCCCTCTTCCTGCTCGATTATAAAACATTTAGTCCCAGACATCAAAGCAGGATCGAAAGTTGAAGAGGGCCTCATACGCTTCTGGAAGGCTCTACCAGAGGCCAGTTTGGTTGTCGACGGGGAGGTGGAATACTTGGAGCTAAAAGAGTCTTACATTCTCGGAGACGAAAACCTTGGTGACCGCCTACTCGTGCGCCCTATTTACAAAGAGCTCTGCGAGTTTTTTAAGGCCAACGCCTATAATCGATGGGTCGTTACCGGTACTCCTGGGATTGGAAAAACGTTTTTTTCCGTCTACTACATGTGGATCGCTGCGCGCGCGAAAAAAACTGTGGTGTGGCAGCCTCCCTTCCTTCCCGAACATTTGTCCTATTTGATGACATCCAGAGGCGTTGAACTGGTTGGTACTTGGGATTCTGAGATTACCGACGCTCTCGCAACATCCGACGCAGTACACATTGTGGATGGTAAAGCTCCAAAATTAAGAAAAGTCTGGACTCTCCTCGTCACCTCTCCACAGCACAATCACTACCACCAATTTCTCAAAGAGAACAATTCAAAGCTATTGTATATGCCGCCTTGGAGTTATGAGGAATTGCAAACTTGCAAAGCCATCCTCTATCCAGATGAACGAATATTGCCCACAACGCTCATGGACCGAGTTTTCGAATGGTACGGCGGTGTGCCGAGATACGTTCTTGCTCGGGCCTCAACCGAATTCAAACGAAAGGGTGGCAACGAGGACGCTGCATTTCAAGCGGTGAATCAGAGACTGACCGAAGCCATCAACCGAGGTGGCATAATGGATGTTATGAAAGCCTTTCAGGCCAAAACTCCCGATGGACAATTTTCACATCGTGTGGTACACATTTATAGTCATCCCTCTGGAGAACTCACTCGGTATCACTTGTCATGGGCATCACACCAAGTTGAGAGTGCAATGACCAAAAGATGTGAGCAAGAACTTTGCATTGACCTTCCGAACTTGCTCTGAGCTTCTTGTAATGGTAACAATTTCCGCGGAATGCAATTTGAGATGCACACTCACAAGGTGTTGCAAGAAGGCGGAAGCTTTCAAGTCCGTCCACTTGACAAAGGGGATCGGCGAAGTGGCCAGAACCTTAAGATCACGTTTCATGTAGCCAAACGTCGAATCTTCAAAACTTACAAAGAAGTTGACCTATGCACCGACGTGTTCTGGCAGCCGGCCAGTAAACGTCTGCCATCAATCGATTTGTTGCGTGGACCAGCAAATCTTTTTTAAGTGACCGTTTCCGAGACACCCGATCAAGCATCAGGGTCTCAGCAAGGCTCTAGAGCTGGTGGACAAGTCTGAATCTAACCCAAGGCTTCACTTTGTGGTCTCATCCAATATTTATTTGAATTTCAAACATCAGCCATATCGTACCAAAGACAGGAAAACATACAAGCAAAACCTTGGTGATGTTGGCAAAATAGAGCAGTGGGCTTTGATGATTCCAATAGGGGCCGAGAATCTGTCAGGAGAAGAGGAACCACCCAAAAAGAAGGAGGCTGTCTGAAGAGATGCACCAAAAAAGACTGTTGTGCTAGCCCCCTTGTTCATCATCTGAATAGAACTATAGTCCAGACAACTCCACCATGCTCACAGAAATTGCCACACTGCTTGATTGGACAACTTACACACATCATCAGTCACAATTAGATATGCTTGTACTTGCATTATGCTAGATCTGCAGTGTTATAAGTAAAATCAAAAACAGTATAAAAAAGTAAATGTGTTATATCACATCAGCTCAAAGATCAATTTCACTATGATGTTTTGACAATATTCTTGTCTTCAAAGCAGTGGACAAACTGAGTTGTCTTGACCATCTGATTGGTCTTTCCCAGATTAGGCCTGTGTTCTCTTTGTTATCTTATCCTCATTATGATGGTGTGTAATCTACACTGCAACCAATGGAGATTTCAGTTAAGGCCTACAAAAACATGTGGGGAGTATGATTTGATTAGAGGGGCAAGAAGAAGGAATTCTAATTCAGAATTCAATCAAGTGAATAAGATATACACATCACCATTGGGATCAGAATTGACATCTTACTCTAGATCATCCAGCAGAGCAGGGGGGTAATTCCCCCACAACCAGCAGCTGTGCCAAGAGCTGATTGTGAATGTCCTCTTACTCTAGTTGTTGAGGAGAGGAATCCATATTGAAATGCCACAGCAATCTTTGTGACTTGCTGTTTCCGCAAACCTATGTCTTTTCTTTGTAGGGCAGTTTGGCAAAGAACATCTAAAACCTGCTTAGCCTATGTCTTTTCTTTGTAGGGCAGTTTGGCAAAGAACATCCAAAGCCTGCTTAGCTTTATACCAATGTCAATTCAGTGGCCATGAGCACACTTTCTGATTTAACCTTTTTTTACTAGGCTAGCACCACTCAGACGCAAAAGTCATTCAGGATTAAATACTGTCT